TATGTGAAAAAAAAAAAAAAAAAAAAAAAAAAAGAACCATTCCTCAAGCTTCACTTGATCCCTTCTTCTTGGCCGATTTTCGAGGTGTCTGTGCCTTACGAAATTGGCTAGGATGGGTATGTCTCATAGCAGTCTCCCCTTGTAGACCTTGCTGCATAAATTAAATTCTAGTATTAGAAAATAAATGATCAACACAATTCACACTCTTAGTTGAATGTTAAGCTTAAACTCATAGGGTTCAATTCTGGTGAATTCATGTATTCACCAAATCTATGCTTCTTCTTTCTTCCTAGTCCATTAGATTGACCAGACTGCGTGATAAAAAAATAGCAACAAGAATAGACACATAGACACATATAATTAGCAATATAGCACTATTAATAGGAAATTATAGATCTTAAGCAATTACCACTCAATAAACTTACATTTTCATCAACAAAATATCTAGCAGTGCATGTTGTCCTGGTGTGACCAGGCTGCTTACAATATCCACAATTTGGAGGTTTTCTTGGTATTAGCTGGTGAGTGCTTGCTGATGCTCCCTATTGAGTATGAAAAAAAAAATGTCATTTTATTATCATTTGTTGATAATAAAGTAGGTGTAAGTAATTAACTTACTTCACTTTCAGTTGGCTTTTCGGGGCATCCCCTCTTGTTGTGTCTAGGTTGCTTGCAAAGTGAGCTTGTGATTTGTCCACCTTCCTTTGTCATCTTTTCTAGCTGTCCCACCTTCACCTTTCTGGTTTCATTATCACCCTTCCTCTTATTCACCTTCAGCCTACCCTACTTGCATCTAAATGGCAATGGTTCTAGTGGCTCCCCATGATAATTTTCCCAGAATTTCTCACCATTATAAGGCAGGATTAGTACATTGTATGTACGTTCATACTTAACTCTTTTGTACCAAATTGATACAAATTCATTTGGGTCGAAGTTACCTAAACCTATCGCAGACAATGCATGAGGACATGGAATTCCTGTTAAATCCCATGCTCTACAACTACACTTTTTCCCAATCAAATCCACAACAAATTTGTTATTCCAATGCCAAACATCATATTGGGTCCTGCCATTCCATTCACATCTGCATTTGGCAGCTTCAATCTTATGTGCTTCTAATTTCTTCCTAATTCTAGGTGCTATATCTCTTCTCAATTTGCTGATTTCTTCTCTGTTCTTAGCCATCCTAACCATCACCTTAACCCTTATATATTCTAATAGTTGGATGATTGGCATATACCTGGCATCCATTATCCAATTGTTGAAGGTCTCATTCATGTTGTTATCCACCACATTACATTTACATGATGTGTCAAAGAATGCCTTGCACCACAGCTCTGGTGGGATTGATTTTAAGGCATCATGACCTTCCATGGATAAATTTCTGATCTCCTCCATGTTTTTGTTGAATTGACCTTCATATGTTGACCTTGCAGCAATCCAGAATCTTTTCTTCAATAGTTTCCCTCTGAAAATTTTTTGCCAATTGGCATATAAATGCCTGGCACACAATTTATGCCTAGCCTCGGGGAAAATTGTTTGTCTTGCATTAATCAACCCCTACCAAATTGTGTTTAATGAAAACAAATAAGGTTAATGATTGATAATAAATTCAATTGAATTATACAATAAATAGCATTGATGAGTATAGTAACATAAAGATATTGATAATATAAATTAATTCATAATAGATTGTGCACACTTACAGGATGTTGGTCCGAAATGAACGTTAAATCTCGCCCAGTGTTATTTGATAGATCATCAGCTAGGCATCTAAAAAGAAACGTCCATGAGCTAGTAGACTCTGAGTCAACAACAGCCCAAGCTATTGGGAACATTTGATTGTTTCCATCCCTTGCAACAGCTGCCAAAAGAGTTCCTTTGAACATCCCCTTGAGGAAACAGGCATCTACTCCAATTACTGGTCTACAGCCCAGTAGAAAACCCTTCCTACATCCTTCTAGACACACAGATTCCTTTAAACATAGGTTTTCCCTCTGGAGTTGTGGGTGGCTCACTGTCAATTTGAACATTTGACTGAAGGGACAATCTCAACAGCTCTTCTGCATACCCTCTTAACTGAGCAAATTCCTTCGTGTGAGTTTCCTTCACCTCCTTCATAATCCTTTCCTTTGCTAGTTTACACTTATCCCTTGAAACATGAACTCCTAATTCTAAATGAGACAATCTCACTATCTCATTGATTCTAATCTGCGGATTTGCAAAAATTCTGTTCCTATGGTGTTCTGCAAGTACCCTCGACCCAACCATATTGGACTTCAAACACCTAAAGCAAGTGTGTTCCTTGCAATATGTCTTCACCTTAAAAGTCTTGTCATTTTTATCAAAACTAGCAAAGATACTCCAATTGCACTGTTGACCAACATAGTGAATTCAATGCCTGGTGGGGTTACTTTTAACAGGTTTCAACTTACAGCCTTTTTGAATTTGATACTTAGCTATAGCCTTCTTAAACTGTGCTACATGCTCAAACCTCATCCCTACCTCAAACCAAACAGTAGTCCATGAAGAATTAAATCACTACTCCTAGTAGTTTTTACATCTTCTTCTTCTTCTTCTTCTTCTTCTTCTTCTTCAAGTTCATGTTCATTTGCAACATTGTACTCACCTGAATCATCACTAGAAACCTCAAATTCATCTTCACTATTTTCAAAGCTAGAATCAAAACCCAAATCTCCATGGTCATCAATTCCTATAGGAACCCTTTCACCCTCTTCATTAACTGTGGTGGGGCAGTCATGGACTGTGCTGCTTGGTCCAGCACCATCTGCATTTTTTCTTGCACTTGCACTGGCTTTATGCTTCTTTTTATTGCCAATAGATTCAAGCACCTCCTCATCATCTACATCACTAGGCACAATATCAAGCAAATCCTCATCATCATGATCATTGTTTTGTAGATCTTCTTGTTGGGTTGCATCACCTTCATGCAGTGCATCTGTTTCATCAGCATCACCTTCAGCTACTGTTTCTGGAGCTTCATGAAAATTTGGGGCTGGTTGTGAATTTTGTGTCACACAGCCTTCCCCAATGTCCATTGTACCTTCATCAACTGGTTCTTGCAGAACAGTGCCACCTTTAAGCAAATCTAAAATATATGGCTCATCACAGACATGCTCAACATACACATCTATAATTCTCCTTTCATTTAAAAGGTACCACATGTGAATAAGCTCCTGCTTACTATTTATAACCTTTACTACTTCACCAAATATTTCCACATAAGGATCTCTGTAATATGTCCTTAAAATGCATAAATCCGAGGCTTTTTACCCTCTCCTCTAAGTACAACAAAGTCACACGATGATATTCAATATCCTCATCATGTACTTCGCCTATAGTATACCTAAAATCCGTACTACTACTCATGCAAAAAGTGCCACTATGGTGAATTCTTAATGTCCCCATTACTATCATATGAGAAGAAAAAGATATAAATTAATATAAATTAACACACATTTAAGCATTAAATCTATAAATCAAGTTATTGATTACAAATTTATAGATTTAGAAATAACTAATTTACAGTAATAGCATAAATCCTAAACTAAAATTTCTTCAATACTTGTACAATCATGATTGAAATTGAATTCAACACTAATAGAAAAAGTAAAAGAAAATAGAAAAGTATAACTTTTTAGTTTAATTACTAAGTAAATTAAATGAATCCTAAATCCCTAAAAAGTGACGAACACTACTTAAATTTATTTTAATCATAAATAAAGCATAAATCTTAATTAAATATCACTTCTAACATAAACCCATGACCCGTATGCTAAATATCAGTAAAAGTTAAACAAGATTTTGTTAGAATAAAAGGAAAAATACCTGTCAACGGCACCAAGAACAGTGTTAGAATCGTCTGTGCTTTATGGTCCCTTTCGAATGTTCTATTCTATTCCTTCAATGGAGATTCGTTCGGTTGGTGGGTGGAGTAAAGTTGTTTCATTCTGTGGTCCTTTTCTGGGTTGTGGGGTTAATAGAAGCTTTTCTTTGTTCTTGATCACAATGCTTGGAGTCGGACGGTTTCTTAGTATTCATTTGTCTTTTTTTCTTTTTTTTTTTCAAACCTTTAGTCAGCGGTGGGGCCTTGATGTCTCGCCTCAAAATTAATACCCTTTGGCTAAGAGGTGGTTGTAGCGTAACTTTAGGTGTCGAATCCACAGGGAAGCTATATTAAATCAACAAAAAGAGTTGTCACAATGAGAAATTAAATTAAAAGATGAATTTTAAAATTAAGAATAAAAATATTTAAATAAAAAATGATAATTGTAAAAGATTAAAAACAATATTATGATGAACAAGACTTCAGGGTTCACTTAATTGATTTGTTTAACTGTTATAAATTTTGATTCCTAATTATTACTCAATTGCATGTTTCACATCCCAAACAAACAATCGGAAGATTCAACTTTGAAAACCAATAATCATGACTAATGTATTTATTCTGAAAAAAAATAAATTTCAATGAAGAACAAACTAATCTATCCTTACGAGCTATCCGAGAGCGACAATATATCTAATCGACAATACTGTAGTAAAAGATCAACCCGCAAAACAAATCTATCAATCAATTATATTCTAACAAATCACACATAAAAAGAGCATGACTAATCTTATATGAAATTTGATAAATATAATTTTAAGGGTTTTCAGATCTGAAAATAATTAACAATCTCTCAAAAATAAAATTAAACAATAAAATCTATGAAGGAATCAAAATAAAATAACAAGTCAAACTCTTCAATTAAGATCCTCCCTAGTCTTATTGAAAGTTTAGTTGCCCTTTAACATAATTCTCTAGCTTTGAAGAAGAAAATAGAAAGTCTGGTAGCAGCCTCTCCAACCCTGAAACCCCCTCTAAAATAACTTAGATGGGTATTTATATAATCTTAGAAACCCTAATTAGAATGGATTGGGCTGAATTACCGCGCAAGGGGTCGGCACTCTTTTCAAGGTGCCGGCACTTTGAGTGGAGCGTCAGCTACATCTTCGTGTCGGGTTTTTGGCCTTTTGTGCAATTTTGCTTAATAGTAGAATAACAGTCTTGGTCCTTGACTCTTGGATTCCGTGCAAGTTGATCATCATATTTCTGAGCTTTGCAATTTGCTCCTTGATCAAGAATGGAGAAAATCTCACTTGAGCCTTTAAACTTTTGATTTATCCTTAGATCCTCATCTTTTCAGCTCTTTGCATTTAAGTCCTTTTTCTTCTAATTCTCTCCATTTAGTCATCAAACCTTTAATCACCAAAATTTTGCACAACATGAATAAAGTGAACAATTATGAAATTATTTATAGAAAAATATGACTCTTAAACCCATAATTCCACAAATGTCCATAGTTAAGCACACTTTAGATATACATTTTCATGCTTTCATCACAACCCCCAACTAGCTTATTGCTAGTCTCTAGCAATTCAAGCGTGAATTAAGAAAGAAAGCATGCTGATTAGCTCAAAAGGGCATCTAGCAAGACTATCTAGGCATTTAGAAAAAGATCACAGTCACTAT